AGTCCAAAACCACACATAGTGCCTTTTCCTTTTCCAGAAAATGAGACAACATTAGGATTCAGTAGGGAGTATATTACTGGTTACTTGTGATGGCCTCTCTCATTTTTGGAGTTTAAAGATCTGGAAGAGGTGCAGAGGGGAGACGCTAAGATGCTTCTGGCTATCTCCAGGGAAGGACAAGCAAGCCTGGCTACTGTGACAAGGGAGGGCAGGGTTTGCAAGCCAGCCAGAAAAAGAAGGAGGAGAAAAAGGAGGAAGAGGAGAGGGAGGGGAGGGGAGGAGGGAGACAGGGAGGGGAGGGGGAGAAAGAAGAGGAAGAATTAGGAAGAGGAGGGAGGTGAAGGGAGAAGCAGGAAGAGGAAGGGATGGAGGAAGAAGGAAGGAAAAGAAGGAGAAGGAGAAGGGAGAGGAGGAGGAAGAGAAAGAAAAGGAGGAGAAAAAGGAAGAGGAGAAGGGAAGTCAAGAAGACCCAGGTTTGGTAGGATTTCTTTGGTGCCTTTCAAATGCTCACAGAACACCACCAGAGGGCACTCTAGACAACTCCCACATTTGAACCAACACGAGGGAGTCGAGGCAGAAGGCCACTTCTGCAGTGACAGATTTCCATAAAAGCCAGAACAATTGAGGGGCCGAACATCAAAGGGTCTCCAACACCACTCCCTCCAGCACGCTGAAGATTCGGCAAGTGTTTGGCCTTTGTGGTGCAGAAGGGTCAGTCCACACATGGCATCTTGGGCCACGATCCTCCTCCACTTTGTACCCCAATTCCCTACTCTGACTTTGCTATCAGATACTAAATAGACTGGGTAGTTTCTCAGAAGGAAAGGGGTTCTGTTTCCCCACTCCCAGAAAACTGGTGCATCCTGGCACATTCTTATCCCCAAGGGCCAAGCAACTCTGGCCCTAAGGCCACTTGGTTTTCACCGTGGCCCATGACGATGGAACCCACTTGTCACCTCTGAGAAGCCTGGCAGCAAATGGCCAGGGCTCCAGCATAATACCCAGAATCGTTCTCTCCCTTGGCTGCTGCATTGATCTGACACTAAGCCAAACTTTACACCTTGAGCAGCTCATTGACTTGTTTCCCAATCTGCAACCAGAATGGCCAGAAGTGACCCTCTTGAACCTTTGCAGCAGTGAGTTCTCGTTCCACCCTCAACCACTGAAGTAGACACTGGCAGTGTCTTGTGGGTGTGTGTGGGTGTGGGAGGGTGACGTGGGGAAGACTGACCAGAGACAGACAGGTGATCAGCACTGGCGGATGAGATCGGGGCTTCCCTCTCTTCAAATGACTCTACACTGCACTCAGCGAGGATGGGATGGATCTGTGATACACTGGTCTTGTAGTGTTTTCTAAAAAGGCATAATGTAACATTCTAAGCTGTGTTGAAAGAACTTCGAGAGTGATCAAAAACAGAAATTTAAAGAAATACTTCAGGTCTGGGGGGGCGTGTAGCTGAGTGGCAGAACATGTGCTTAGCATGCATAAGGTCCTGGGTTTGATTCCTAGCAGCACACACACAAAAACTTCAAAACACCAACAGGGTGATAAACAACCGCATCTCACAATTTGCTAAACATGTTGGCATTCTTTACACCTCTGAGCCCCACAAGGCTGTGGGGTGACCTCATTCCTCCATGTTACAGCTGAGGACACTGAAGCCACAGGCTGTGACTTGAAGAGTCTGGGATACATCCAGGCACTGACCCCAAAAGTGGTGAGAAGTAGACAGAGAGTGGCAGGTGAGCTCAGTGGCAGATCTCTAGTCTGCCTAGAAATGACGCTCCATTTGTGGTTAATCACAGAGCGACAGGTGGAAAATGAGCACAGCCTTCATGGATGACATGAGCTTATACATACCAGAATTTTAAGTTTAAAATAAATGCCTTGTTCAACAATAACATTAATAACATAACTTTACATAACAGGAAAAATGCACACAAAGAACCAGAAAATGAAGTCCAACAATTTGCTGCTTGTAAGTTACAGGTAAATACCACAATATATACACAATTTAAAAAGTAAGACGCTGAGCTGAACTCAAGAAAAGAAAGCGGCTTCCATTATATTTGAAAAACAGAAATTTAAGCTCAAAGCGTAAGAAGCAAAAGGGGGAACTAAAAGGCAGTCTTTCAATATATCACTATTAATATATATGCCCACAATTTCATATTTATTAATACCCTGCCTGTTTCTCAAAGAGGATTTGAGAAAACTATACCAACACAGCAAAAATATCTACAAAAGAAAAACAGTAATTAAAAGTAAAATCGAGGGAAAAAAATAAAATAGAAGCCAGGCCTAGTGGCCCATAGTCCCAGCTACTTGAGAGGCTGAGGCAGGAGGATCACTTGAGTCCAGGAGTTCAAGGGCAATCTGGGCAACACAGTGAGATCTTCTGATCACAAAATAATAAAAATAAAATATAAAAGGGAAATAGAAACAAACAAAAGGACAAACATACAAACTCAGACTATTAATTAGTAAGTGTTAACTATTGCGGGCTCACATAATCCTTTCAAAATATGAATGCTACAGCCCCCCCCATTTATTCATACACAAACCCACGCATCTTGTTCCATACCCACACATCCACAAACCCTAAAACCCTTATACGATTAGTCCAAGGCAGTCCTTAGATCCTAGGTAAAGAACTTTGAAATAGGCCAGGGATTTAGCTCAGTGGACTGCCGCCTGCCTTGCCAGTGCAAGGACCTGAGTTTGATCCCCGATACAAAAAAAAACCCTTTGAAATAAAGGGAAGTTAGAATATGGATTAAATAATTTTTAAAATTTTGATTAAATAAAACTGATGAAATAAAAATATTTTTAAAAGCATACACAAATGTTTTATCGGAGTTGATAATGTATCCTAGCCCAAAGAAATTCTGTGGCTACCTAGAAATGTTGATACCATAGTATAAGAAGTAAGTAGCAATGACCTAAGCATTCATCCCTTAGAAATATTAAGAAATAACACCTGGGCCAAAAGGAAATCCTCACTATCATAAAAACAAACAGGGCCAGGGATTTAGCTCAGTGGCGCTGCGCCTGCCTCGCAAGTGCAAGTCCTGAATTTGATCCCTTGTACCGGGGGTAGCGGGGAAACATGTCAGAATTTATGAAGAACCAACAAAGCTGTGACTAAGAAAAAAACACATAAACCAAAATATCTAAATTCATTAGCAATACTAAAAATGTGTTTAACCATTTCTAAATAATCTTAAAAAGTATTAAGCCAAAATGGAGGGGAGGTAGAAACATTTTGACAAAACCATTAGATCAGTAAACAAAATCAAGAGCTGGAGTTTTATAACACTCAAAAATATCTAAGTAAGCCACTGCTAGATGAAGGAAAAGAATGTAAAACAATAAAACAAGACCAACTCAATTAAAAGATGATAAAAGAGCTAGGGTGTAAAGCAGTGATACAGTGCTTGCCTAGTATGCTTAAGGTCCTGGATTACATCCCAGCGTTTCAAACAAAACAAAACGATGATTAAAACATTACCAGAGACCATCTTATAATTTTACACTGAGACTCTGGATAGAAATTTTTAAAAAAATACATAGAATGAAAGAATTTGAATAAAAGGACCTAGGCTGTGCTCATACTTCCAAAAAAAAAAAAGTACCTGCTCTTACCATTTTTATGTAAAAATCTGTTAACCCTTAGGAGAGGGGACAGTCTTTACCCCCATCTTATATAAAAAGAAGAAAAGAGGGCGAGGGATTTAGCTCAGTGGTTCCACCACCTGCCACGCAAGCACAAGATCCTGAGTTTGATCCCAGGTACCAAAAAGAAAAAGAAAAGAAAGGGAGGAAGGGAAGAGGAGAAGGAAGAAAGCACAGCGTAAAACATGAAAGCAACATCAAGTGAATCATAAGAAGCCAGACAGGAATGAGTCGGCATCTAGCTGGGCTGCGGTGATGCTTTAAAAATCAGTGCTGGATGTGATGGCGCACGACTGCAATCCCAGCAACCTGGGAAGCTGAGTCGAGGATCACAAGTTCAAGCCCAGCCTGGGCAATTTAGCGACTTGATGAATGACTATGACAAAGCCATATTTGTTCCTTACTGAGGTCTGATAGGCCAGAGATTCTGTGTTTCTGTTTGTGTTTGTTTTGTTTTGATACCAGGGATCTAACCTGTTTCAAACAGACCCTGTTTCAAAATGAAAAAATTTTTAAAAAGTGCTGAGGATGTAGCTCATGAGAAGGTCCTGCCTTCAATTTCTAGGATGGCCAAAAAATAAAAATTAAAAAAATCAGCTTGAGCCAGGTACAGTGGCACATGCCTGCAATCCCAGCAACTCAGGAGGCCAAGGCAGGAGAATCATGAGTTTGAGGACAGCCTTGGCAACTTACATGAGTGTGTCAAAATAAAAAGAGTTGGGGAGGTTGCTCAGTGTGGTATAGTGCCCCTGGGCTCTATTTCCCAGAATTAAAGAAAAAAAAAAGTCAGTTTGGCTGAGTTGTGCAGAAAGGTCAAGGAGGGACTCAAGGCAGGTGACAGATGCTTTCTGGGTAAGGACAGGCTTAGCCAAGACTAAGACAGAATGGGACAGCAGGGGTCAAAAAGGCAGATCTTTCAGGGGCCCTACCTAATAGAAACTGCTGTCCCGATTGAGTCTAGTGTCTAGTATTCTCTCTTCATTCCTGTTAATGACTGAAGATGCTGAGTATCAGCTGCCTGGAGTAGTGCCCAGGGCCACCCATCAGGTCCTGGGATTTCACAATCCAGCTGGCCATACAGTGGGTTCTGGGGAACAGTAGACTTCTGGAAGTGGCCAGGACTCCCAATGGGATCTCTGGAGCCCATTATATTCATGATTCAAAATCTCTAGCCTACATCAGGTGCAGCAGCATACACCTATAATCCCAGTACTCAGGACTGCCATGAGTTCAAGCCCAGCCTGAACTACATAGTGAGACCATGTCTCAAAAACAAAACAGGGCTGGGGATTTAGCTCAGAGGTTCTGCCACCTGCCTTGCACGTGCAAGGACCTGAGTTAGATTCCTGGTTATCAAAACAAAACAAACACAAACACAAAATCTCTGGCCTATCAGACCTCACTTAGTAGGGAACAAATATGGCTTTGTCATGTTCATTCATCAAAACTATATACCACACCATGCTCCAGGCCAGCTGAAACAGCCGTATCACCACCACATACATTCCTGTGACTCCAGACATAAACTCTTGGAAAACTTCAAAACAGCCCTGACTGCCTCTTTCTCCACTAGCTCTGAAGAGTTTGGTGAGTACTAAAAAGTTCCCTCACAGGGCTGGGGATGTAGCTCTGTGATAGAGCGCTTGCCTAGCATGTGCAAGGACCTGGATTCAGTTTCCAGCACTGCAAAAAGACAGAGACTCCCTGGCCTGGGACAAGAGCTTATCAACTGGCAAGACAACTATCACTGTCTGAGCTCATTCCCAGGGCTCCAGGGTGGGGGTACACTGAGACAGAGTGGCCTTCAAGCTCTGCTATGCCAAAGTGAACAGGCTGACAGGGAATCTGTTGGGGCTACATGAAAACCCAGCTCAAGGCTCACTGCCTGGCCACATGCTACCACTCATAACCACCTAGGGAACTTCTGAAACATGTCAGGGATCCAACACTAGTGATTCCGATTGAATGAGTCCAGGTGGGACAGGGTCAGTGACACTTTAAGCTTAAACAACCCCCAGGTGAACTACAGTTAGAAGGTAGGATAGAAAGATCACTGGAGCAAGCATGACGCCACTGCAGCGGGAGGCTTTGGAGAGTGTCTAGGAGGACATGTCGGTGCGTTGTACACTTCTCTGGTCTGCAGGTAACATGCTTCAGGGTAGGAGGTCACTCAGGGTCTCCATCCTCAACCACCACCCATGACTGCTGAGCTGTCAAAGAACCTGCAAGTGTGGCCCCATTCTGTATATGTGCTGCCGAAGCGAGCACAAGTGTAGCCCCGTTCTGAACAGAATCCTCAAACCTACTCTTAGAAGTATGTGGCCAGGCCATTCATACAGGGAAACAGACTTGGGAAGTTGTGGGGCTCAGGTCAGGGGCGGGACTGGACTTCAAACCCAGCCCCCACTTTAGGACTACACACTTTAAACTGAATGACATAAATGAAGTAGGGAGACCATGAAAGAAATTTAGTTTTAGCTGTTTTATGGATAACCAGATGAAATTTCTCTAAAAAACACACTGAAGTTTCAAAAACTATATTTGTCAAAATACCTCATGAAGCCATTCTAAATGTAATCCAGGAAACACACTATTTGCAGGATAGGAAAATCATAATTGAACCCAGACCTTCTGAAAAGCAAAAGGCTTTTTCCACTCTTCTGATTGAACCACGGCCACCTCTCCTCCTCCAAATCACCTGCTTCCCACATCCCAACACCAAGAAGTAAAGAGAGGAATCTATGTAACTCCCAGACCAGAAGTGTGCCCAGCTGGTGTTTAAGGCACACTGTGCTCTGGGAGCACTAGGTCTCAGGGAGGGGTTGTTCCTGGAGGGTGTCAGTACCAGAACCCAGCTGAGTCACAGGTGTCAAACATTCTGGGGTCACAATAGGGCCAAACCTCTGCCCTCTTGTGACTGATCCACTGACAGAATCCACTCTTATGCTAACCAGAGGGTTATGAGACCATGCCTACGGGGTCATCACCCTCACCAACCCCCAAATCAATCCTTCGATACCCTCCTCTGCCCTGGTAATATGTTTTGATTATCGTCATCAGTGCTCAACCCAGGCACAGAATTACATTTCGCCTCTTTCATATCTATTTTTGAATTCATATTCTTCAGCTGACTTGGACTGTAGATGTGCTTTCTGTCTTCTGAAAGGGCCAGTCTGCTGCCTTAAAGAGCAAATCTAAATTTCCTTGGGTTTTCTCTTCCTGCCTCTTGACATATCTTCTTCCAGACTCTGAGAAAAGCAGACACAGGGAAAAATAAAGTCTCATCGTAGGATGTCAAATGTGAGAATAAGAAAGCTGAAAGCCAGCTCTTTTTGTGGGCTCACCTCCCCTTGGCCCTCTTGCCTTCCACCCGGGAATCTACTGAGAGCTTGGTGCCATGTGGGGCTTCCTGATAGCAGGGATGCCGGCGTTGGTGGTATAGTGGTGAGCATAGCTGCCTTCCTGATAGCAGGGATGCTCAGGAGGACTGTATTGGAGGGTGTCCACCCAGCAAAAGTTATCAGGGAGGTAGGTGGGGTCTCAGAGACGAAGTGGCATGGATGTGGACTCCCACCTGGCAAAGGCTTCCAAGCTGTGGTGGGGCTTCCCCTTCTAGAACTTCTCCCCAGCATGAATCTTCTGATGCCGGATCAGGTGCGAGCTCCCTCGGAAGGACTTGCCACACAGATTACACACATAGGGCTTCTCTCTGGTGTGGGTTTTATAATGCTCAATGAGAGCTGACCTGTGCCTGAAGGCCTTGCCACACTCACAGGCATAGGGCTTCTTGCCAGTATGGATCCGCTGGTGCTGAATCAGTGCAGAGCTGTGGCAGAAGGCCTTGCCACACTGACAGCACTCATAGGGCTTTTCCCCGGTGTGGATTCGCTGGTGCTCAATTAGAGAGGAGCTCTGGCTGAAGGCCTTCCCACACTTATGGCACTTATAGGGTTTTTCACCAGTGTGAGTCTTCCGGTGTTCAATGAGGTTGGAGCTCTGGCTGAAAGCCTTGCCGCACTCTTCACATTTGTAAGGTTTCTTCCCTGTGTGAATCCGCTGGTGCCGGATGAGGTGGGACCTGTGACAAAAGGCTTTTCCACAGAGATCACATTCGTGGGGTTTCTTTAAGGTGTGGATTTTCCGATGTTGGCTCAGGCCTGAACTCTGGTTGAAGGATTTCCCACATTCCTTACACTGATAAGGTCTCTCTCCTGTGTGAATTCGCTCGTGTTTTCGGAGGCTGGAGCTCCGGCTGAAATCTTTCCCACATTCCCTGCACTCATAGGGCCTCTTCCCAGTGTGTATTTTCTGGTGTTGCGAGAGGGCTGAGCTCTGGCGGAAGGCTTTCCCACACTCCTGGCACTCATACGGCTTCTCCCCAGTGTGGATGATCTGATGGCGGAGAAGATGAGAGCTCTGGCTGAAGGCCTTGCCACACTCACAGCACTCATAGGGCTTCTCCCCAGTGTGGATGACCAGATGTCGCAGAAGGTGTGAGCTCTGGCTGAAGGCCTTGCCACACTCACGACATGCATAGGGCTTGGCTGGCTGTGGGGTTAGGTGAGGTACATTAGGTCCCAAGTCTCCCCTGTCCACTTCTTCACAAGCTTGTGGACAGGACTCTTCACCATGGATGATTTGACACATATTAATGTCAGGTTTCTTGAGAAAGGCTTGGCCAAATATCTCCTCATCTTGGGGTCTGGCACCTGGGAGGATACTCTGAGGGTGAACAGGGCTTGAACAGAGACTGAAATTCCCCTCGTAATCATCATGTTCCAAGTCTTGCTCCCCAAGAGGGATCTCCTTGTAAATAACAGCCATTTGTTCCAAACCTCTTTCCCGAAGAAAAGAGTCTCCCAGGTCTTCCCCTGGGAAAAGGTCTTGCCGTGTCTCTAACCTGTCCTCAAATACAAAGGTCTCTCTAAACTTGGTTGCTGGGGGAACCTCCATTGTGAATCTCAATCCCAACAACTGTATGTCTTTTAAAAAACCCTTCTTTGAGCTGCATTCACTGTTCTTATAATCTGAAAAGAAAACAAGGGATGTCGTCAAGTCAGTAACTCGAGGATCTCATAGGTGCCTCCTTCCCACGTTAGAATCTATGGCAGAAAAGAACAAATGAGCTAGGCGTGGTGGCACATGCCTATAACTAAAGCAGTCTGGGAGGTTAAGGCAGGAGATCTGCAAGTTTGATCCCAGCCTGAGCAACTTAGTCATTTAACAAGACCCTGTCTCAAAAAATAAAAACATCTGGGGTTTTTTAGTGCAAAGCCCCTGGATTTAATTCCCAGTACTGCACAAAAGGAAGGGAGGGAGGGAGAGAGAGAGAGATAGGGAGAAATAAGTATGATACATGACAGTGTCGGCCTTGAGATAATTCCAAATGAATTAAGAGTCAAATTTCATTTGCCAGAAACAACCAGAAGGAAGACATAAAATCAGGTGCCATATCAGGTGTCTAAACTTAATGTGAGTGTCACAAAGGGGCTAAAACAGGAAGCGGAGCCATTGTGGGAAAGGGGGCAAGCTTCTGGTGACTGGATGATGCTGATGGTGGGATTTGGGGGAGAGACAAGGAGTACAGCAGCATCACTAACAGCAAGCACTCAGCCAGAACTCTAGGAGTCAGACTCTCTCAGCCTTACCCAACTCAGACTGTCCTGTTCACTGCCTGGAACCACATGCAAGGTATCTCTACTCTTTGTCCTCACGGCCACTGTGCAGTGCAGCCCTCAGGGCAACTCCCCAGGATTATTTAAAAACTCAACTAAACTAAAACAAAAGTCAAATATCCAAACACTAGTTTGATCTTGTAATTTTCCTTCTTGCAACTGCTCAAATCCTTCACATGGTCCTTCATACCCAACCCCTCCAGCCTTGTCTCCTGCCTCTCTCCCCTACACACTAATCTTCTACGTCAACAATTCATTTGCACTGCTTTTGTCTTCTAAAAATTCCTTCCCCTGCCGTCAGACTGCATCTGTCCCTTAGTCCCTGCACTCTCAGACTCTTGGCCACCTTGGTGAGCGAGGTACTGGGTGTGCTTTGTCACAACACTCACTATCTTGCATATTTACAAGACTGACCCCAACATTAGTTTCCCCACTAAGAGTAAGTAGTGTGCTCTTTCAACTGTGGAATTTCCAGTGCCCCACACAACAGCACAATCTCAATGCACACAGGTGTTGAATAAATGATGAATGGGAGGAAAAGCCATTTGGTTTTTTGTTTTGGGGTTTTTTTGGGGGGGTACCAGGGATCAAACTTAGAACCTTGTGCTTGCAAGGAAGGCAGTGGAACCACTAAGCTAAATCACCGGCCCGGCCATTTGTCTTTGTGCTACAACTATCACACTTTTTTCTTTTTTATCAAATAATCAAATGTTTAGGAGATATAAATAAATGAAGCGGCACTTTTCCAGGGGAAGGGGTGTGTTTTAACAGGGACAAGGAAAGATACTAGAGCACCCCATTTAGCCCTCCACTTTACTATTGTGGTCACTGAGGGAGCCCAGCAGAGCCTCATTCAGAAACTTCTGTGCCAGATAAAGGGGGAGTCCTCAGGTGATGTGACAGTAATGACAACTGTTCTTGTTTATAAGTACCTACTATGTGCTAGGCAGCACTAGAACTTATTTGTTTATTTTAGGGAGTGGGGACAGGGTCTTGCTATGTAGTTCGGGCTGGCCTTGAACTCACTAGGTAGCCCAGGATGGCCTTGAACTTACAGTGATCCTCCTGCCTCAGCTTCTGGAGTGCTGGCATTACAGGTGTGCGCCACCACACTCAGCTCAGCCTATGCTTTTTTCAACCTCGAGTCCAATTACCTTCCACTCTCACCCAGGTCCTCCTCTTCTAGTGTCTCTTCAACTCTCCTGCCAGCATCATGCTCCTCACCTACTTGTCCTGTGGCGACTTGTTGCTGACTCCCAACCTTCTCTGCCAATTCCTCCTAAGACGTTAAATGTTGTGGCCAGCAAAACTGTACAGCTACACATAGCATCATGACACGCGTCGAGTTTCCAGTTTCAGCTAGGACCTCAGCGCTCAGTGCTAGCATCCAATGACCTCCTCATTGCTGAATCCCATCTTGCTTATCCTCACCTTCCCACCCCATCTGGCATTGCTCACCAATACCTCCTTCGCTAAAAGCAGCTTTTCAAAAATCGCAAATTGGCAGCCTGAGGATCCCGCCACATTGACACATTTGGTTTGGTTCTCAAAGAGTTAGGCTTCTCCTTAGTCGCCAACATTAAAAACTCAGCAGGTTTCTGGCGTTGTTTTTTTAAAAAACGGAAGATGTGACAATACAGGTCCACTTCTTCCACGCTGCCTAGCTGGATGTCTGCAAGTTTTGAGATTGCCCCTACTTTATTCCCTTGGTTTCTCAAAGTTTTCTTCTCGATCTCCGTGTCCTCTTCTTCTTGCTATGTGTGGACTGCAAATCTTCCTTCACCCACCTGTTAAATCCGGGTATTTCCCATGTTCTCGCTCACAGATTTTCCATTCCCAGTAAGTAGTAGCCCCTACATTCTGAAGCCCCCAATACGGATAAAAAGTTGGCAATAGTTTAATCTGTTCCTACGACATATTAAATGCTTCTGGATGAAAAATCCACAGGTCTGGAACCCCATGCTTCCTATCTCTCTGAGCCTTCCCAGCTCTTCTGGCATTCGTCACTCCAGGATTCCCCCAGGGCGCGGGCACCCGGCAAACCCTCAGTGTGGTCAGGGTCTCCGGGCTGAAGACACGCGAGCAGCTGCAGACCCGCGCACGCTGCCCAGATGGCGACGCGACGCCCCTACAGGCTTCCCAACGACTGGGAACACCTCTACGCGGGGCTCCCTGAGGGACACATGGTCAGGCGGCCTCAGGTCACACTGGCGGATGTGCTGCCACTCACCTGAGCCG